TTCACTTTGGGAATAGTGGATACAGTTCCTATGAACATTAAGCATAAGTTTTTGTGTGGAAATATGCTTTCATTTCTCTTGTGATGACATTTCTGGGCCACATTTAAAATTCATGTTTTCATTTTAAAGGAATTACCAAGCTTTTCCACTTAAAAAAAAGGTCTGGGCACCCCCTGGTGGCACAATGGGTTAAAGCATGGCACTGCAAGTATGCTGTGGCACTCTTCAGTGCGAGTTCGATCCCCTGCTCCAGAGGTGACCCACATGGCGCAGCAGACCTCTTCTGACCTGCCCGCTGCTCCCCTCAGCAGTGTACTTCCGCGATCTGCCTGTTCTGCTCCCCATTCTGTCTCTGGTGAAGCCTCTCACTGCCCCTGTACCTCTTGCCAGCATCCCAGTTCTGTATGTATAAATAAACAAATCTTTAAAAAGAAGTCCTTAGCAGGACCAATTTCCTAATTGAAGCTCTCTCCTGTATGCTGCTGAAGTTACTTTGGGATCTCCTCTCCAGGGTCTCCTGACCACTCCTGTCAGACTAGTGCTTGCTGGCTGGCCAGCTGCCCACCTCCCAGCTGTCCTCTCGGAGACTCTCTGCACCATCAGCATAGGAAAATCAGTAGATTTCGCCCTCTTCTCTGCTGAGTTAGATCCTTTGTTAACTGGCTTAGTGGTTTATCTATTTTGGGTTGTTCTCCCACCAAGTGTAATATTGCCTCAGTAACTCTTGTAGAAAGGGGACATGGAATGTTTTTGACTCCTTGTTTGTATGTCTGATAACATCTTTATTTTACCTTCATAGAGGACAGATTTGTTGGAAATAAAATTAAAATCTAGAAAACATTTTTCCATACAGTTTTTTTCTTTTTAAAGATTTATCACCAGAGGCAGAGTGGCGAGCAAAAAAGGCAGATCTACTGAAATATACTGCTGAGGGGAGCAGGGAGTGTGACAGGAGATGGCGGCCACACCATGTGGGTTACCTCCCTGCCCAGGAGTTGAAGAGTGGCTGCAGGTTGTTTCATACTGCTGCACTTTAACCCATTGCACCACCAGGGAGGGTCCTTTTTCACTTAGTTTTGAAGATAGTGCTCTATTGTATAAACTTTAAATCTGTGGGTACTCTTTGAAGTTGTAACCTGTTTTCTTCCTGAAAGTTTGAGGGTTGGTACATTGTGGTCACTCAAGATTTTTTTCATTTTAGAAACTCAGCCTTTCAAGTTTAGAGAAAGGAATTACTATATTTTCCCCTCTCTTCCCTTTTGTCTGTTCCGTATTTCTGAAACTTCTGGTTATTAGAATAGAAGTTATTAGAATAGAAAAGAATTTTTTAAAGATTTATTTATTTAGTTAGTTATCTATTTATTTATTTATTTTTTAGATGGGACTGGTCACCTGAGTTTTTTCAGTCTCTGGGTTTTGTCTTTTTTTTAGAAAGTTTCTGCTTGTATCACATTTTTTTTTTAAGATTTATTTATTTGTGCATACAGAACTGGGGTACAGGCCAGAGGCTCAGGGGCGGTGAGAGGCTTCACCAGAGGAAAGAGTGGGGAGCAGAACAGGCAGATCGACGAAGTACACTGCTGAGGGGAGCAGTAGGCGGGTCAGGAGAGGTCTGCCACGCCATGTGGGTCACCTCCAGGGCAGGCGGGAATCAAACTCATGTGGAAGTGGCTTTAGCTTCTCAGTGCTGTGCTTTAACCTGCTGCGCCACCAGGGAGGGCCAGTACCACATCTTTTAAAGAGTTTCCATTTTTTCAATCTTTTTTTGCATTTCTAGGAGAGCTCTTTTTGGTGTGTGTTAGGCGATTAGTGTTGTCTGTTCCTTATTATTATTTAATGTGTACAACATAATCTCTCACTTTGATAAACTTAGTAGCATGTTGTTTGTAATTTGTCATGTCTCTGTACTTCACGTGGTGGTGTTTTCCTCTGTTGGTGGCCCTTGCCTGTTTGCTTCGTTTGGATCATGGGCAGAGTTGAAGCTTTGTGCATGTGGGCTTCCTGAGGGTGAATTGGTTGTTCTGTTTCATTGAGTATCTCCTCTTTGGACCTTTTTCTTAAGCTGACCAGATATTTCCACATAGGAATGTTCCAGTCAGACTGGGGTTTTGGAAATTTAGTTGAGTAAGCGGGACAAGGGGTTTGCCCTCCACTCCGAAGTACAGAGTCCTCGTTTTTTGACTGAATTGGTATGCCCCAAGTTAGAGTCCTTCCATTCATGCTCGGGTGCGGCAAGTGCAGGGCTGCTTAAGCACATGAAGTGTAGGAGACCCGATCGGGGTGTGTCTGCTGCCTTCTTTCTTGGCTTTTTTTTTTTTAAAGATTTTTTAATTCATGCATACAAGAGCTGGGGTGTAGGCCAGAGGTGTGGGGGGTTGTGGGGAGAGGATTTACCAGAGACAGAGTTGGGAGCAGAACAGCTAGATGGACGAAGTACATTGCTGAGGTGTGCAGCAGGCGAGAGAGGAGAGGTCTGCTATGCCATGTGGGTCAGCTCCGTGCCTGGGGATTGAACTCATGCTGAAGTGGCTGCAACTAGCTTCATAGTGCTGCATTTTAAGCCATTGTGCCACCCAGGAGGACCTTAGAATTTATTTATACATATAGGAACTAGGTTGTAGGCCAGAGGTGTGGGGGTCAGGGGGAGAGCAGGGAGCAGAACAGAGAGAGCAGGGAGCAGAACAGGCAGATCTACTGAAATACACTGCTGAGGACAGCAGCAGTCAAGACAAGAGAGGTCTGCAGTACCTTGTGGGCCTGCTCCCTTGCCAGGAATTGAACTCATGCGACACTGGCAGGTGATAGCTTGATAGCGCTGAGACTTTAACCTCTCAGCCAGGGAAACCCAACATTTGATTTTTTTTTTTAAGGTTTATTTATATTTAAAGAGCAGGTTTATTAGGGAAAAGGACAGCAATATTGGACACTTATAGGCCCTGGAAGGGATGACAGGCTTGCTGAGAGAGGTCTGCATGAGTTCAGGCAGGCAACCTTAGGAGAGCTGCCTCCACTGAGGGAGGTCAGTGCAGAGAAGTCCTGGCCTGGTACAGGTCATAGGCAGGCAGGAGGCTTCTGCCCTGCAGAGGGAGAGAGGGTGTGGAAAGATGCTCCTGCATAGACACAGCTGGGCAGTGGACAGCTGCCACATTTGATTTTGTCTATGATTCTCAACCTGTTTGGGTAAAAAGTAGAAAAGTTTTGTGTGTTCTGACAGCTTAAAGGTACTAGAGACATGTGTCTTGCTGGCTTGTTCATTTGCCAGCAAGAGATTATAAGCTTACCTAAACCCTAATGCAATATTTGGGAAAGTTTTTATTTTTAGAGATGCAGTTATGTTCATTTCTGGACAGATGCTTTTGGAAAGCAAGCAGACTGTTGTCTTCCCTGACTCTATTGTTGGACTCTATGCTCCAACCAGCCCCTTCAGCTCCCATTATGAGGCCTGTGCTGGGGAAGCAATGGACCTATAGGTGGCCAGGGCAGGAGGCACCTGTTTCTAGGACAGAAACACAAGTACATGTGTGCGCACACACACAGCCCTTGCTACCTACAGAGACCTGCAGGAATGGGTTTCATGTATCAGTGAGGTAGGGGAAGATGAGCTTCTATGGTTTTCAGTAGAAGGGCCTGTTACAGGGTAGCCCAGAGTGGACTGGGCCGCCTGTCTGTGGGGCCTCACCTGCGTGCTCACAATTAAGTTATACTGCAGGTACACACAAAAGAGTCAATAATGGGTTTATTTACAAAAGGGGAAAGGAATAGGAAACAACCCAGGGAAAGAGAGCGGGATACAAAGTAACTGGAATACCTTATGGCTAGGTTGACTGAACACACCCAGTCACGCGGTCAGGAGAGCTACTTCCCGAGCGAGAAAGTGAGAGATGCAATCGCACCCTGTTTATCCCCCAAATGTCCCAGAATTCCTGCTAGCTCTGCTTTTGGGTCCTCGCAGTTCTCTCCCTGGTACTGCTGGGAGTTGTAGTTTCCAATCACTGGAGTAGGGTGTAGGGTCCAGAAAGCTGGAGTAGGGGTGGAGTCCATAAGACTGTGCAGAGTTCCTTTAGGACATCCGTCCCCTTAACAAGCCCACCTCCCTTCTGCTCTGAAGCAAGTCTCTTAACACTTCTGTACCTACATTTTCACCTAAGATGTTTCCCTTTCCTTGTTATTTTCAGTAGCAAGTCAACCAAGGGCCCTCCTTCATGTTTCTGTCTGTGGGCTTCCATTCTGACTTGGGACTGCTCCAAAGTCTTGGTGATGCAAGAAAAACACCAAGAACAGTACGTGTGCAGGGAACACGCTCCCAGATACCAGATAGGTTCTGGGATTGGAGTACGCATGTGGACTCGCCTCAATCGTAGCCAGTTACTGAATGGAAGAGACCAAGGAGGAGCCAGGACCATCCTCTGTTTTGTTCACCGAGTCTTCCCTATGCTTAGGATAGTGCCTGGTGCACCAAGATTGAGAGGAAAAGGGAGAGGTAAGGTTGTTTTGGGGTGTCTGATCTTGAAATTGGTACTCTGGGGCTGGCTACGCAAGGTGGCCTCAACTATGAGAGCAGCACCTCTGCCGACTAGTACAAAGTGGGAAATGCTGTGGTTTTCAGAAGGACATTCTTTACTGTCAGAGGTGGTCTTAAGAGGTCTGTAAGGTTCGCGCCCTGAGCTCTGCCTCCTCCCCAGAATAGTTGGGATCAGACCCATCCTTTCAGTTAAGCCCTACCCCGTCTTACTGACAAAGGCCTGTATCCTGCTGGAATGTAGTGGAAGAGAAATGATGGAAAAAAGTAGGGCACAGAATTACCCCCTGAACCACAGAGATGCCTGCTTAGTACAAAGAAGCTTCCTCTGTCTGTGTCTGACTTTTGATTACTTAACTGTTATTTCACCTGTTTCCCCTTCATTTCTCCCTAGGCTGCCGATGGCTTCACTTCCACAAATAGCATCTGGGGTCCCTGACATGAGCAATGTTTACAGCTCCTTTCCCTTTTTTGCTTTCAGAAGTGACTGGAGAGACTCGTCCGTACCATGGGAAGGATGCTGTGGATCCAAGGCAGAGACAGGCCCGGGGGGGCGACCCCCCGCATTTCCACTCGGTGAATGTGGCGCAGCCTGTCCGCTTTAGCAGTAAGTTGGAGACCTGCCCAGTTCATTAGTTAAGCTTTACTAAGTCTCCTCCTGCTTCTGAGAGAGGTATGTCTTCTAAAATAACCCTTCAGGGTTATTTTCAGGTATCATCCTTTTTTGATGAGTAAAGCTATGTGATGACCTCGCCCCTGAGTGACACCACAATTTAAGTTCTGGAACCAAGCTGCTTGTTTTCATAAATGATTATTTATGATCCCCTTAGATGGTTGATGGAGAAACAGGCCCCAAGAGATACAGCAGATGAGATGGAGGGTCTCTACCTCCGTTTTTACACTTTTAAAAAAAGAATTATTTCTTTCTTGTACAGTTGTTTTTTTTAATGATAGTTTATTTTTACATCATTCTGTGCATTTTTCCGTCTCAGTTGCAATCCGCTTGGGGTTCCCATCACCAAATCACCCTGTGCCATCACTGGAGTCCAGTGCATTTCCCTCCCCCCACTGTTTTTGATCCCATTCCCCACTCCATCCCCATAAAATGTCTCTGGTATATAGCTGTTCATTATCATTGTTATTTTCTTGCCTGTTCCATTTTATTCCTGCTATGAGAGAAACCATCTTTTCTTTCTGGCTTACTTCACTAAGTGTGATCTTTTCCAGTTCCATCCATGTTGCTGCCAAAGGCATGTGTTTATTTATTGTTTGATTGATTGCTGAGTAATATTCCATTGTGTATATGTAACCTATTGTACAGTTTTTTTAAAAATTTATTTTACTTGAGTGAAAGAACTGAGGGATATGCCAGAGGTCCAGAGGGTGAGAAGGCTCACAAGAAAAAGAGTGGGATCAGAACAGGCAGATATACTGAAATCCACTGCTGAGGGGAGCAGTGGGCAAGACAGAGGTCTGTTCCCTGGCCAGGGATCAAACTCAGGCCATCACGGTGATAGCACTGACACTTAACCCCTAGGCCACCGGGGAGGTCCCTGTTTTTAAACTTTTTAAAAAATGACTAAAGAATTCCCTGTAACATGGATTCGGATAGAAAACCCAGATATAAACCCACAGGTTCACGGACAGCTAATCTTTGACAAAGGAGCAAAGAAGATACAATGGGGCAAAGAAAGTTTGTTCAGCAAATGGTGCTGGGAAAACTGGGAAGCTACATGCAAACAAATGAAACAGATCACTACCTCACACCATGCACAAAAATCAACTCGAAGTGGATTAAAGACCTAGACATAAGAACAGAAACCATAAATGCCTGGAAGCAAAGATGGTCCAACACTCCACGACATACACTTCAGCAACATCTTTAAAGACAGAGCACCCAATGCAACGATAGTGAAGGCAAGGATAAATAGATGGGACTACATGAAGTTAAAGAGCTTCTGTACAGCAAAAGAGACATTACAAAAAACAGACAGACATCCCACTGAGTGGGAAAATATTTTCTCATACAAAACTAGCGATAGGGCCTTCCCTGGTGGCGCAGTGGGTTAAAGTACAGCACTAAGAAGCTTAAGCCACTTCCGCATGAGTTCGATCCCCGCCTGCCCCAGAGGAGATCCACATGGCATGGCAGACCTCTCCTGACCCACCCGCTGCTCCCCTCAGCAGTGTACTTTGTCAATCTG